GGACCTGCTGGCCGGAACGAACCAAATCCGCAACTTGCACGCCGCGGCTCCCCTCAGCATTGCCCTGGCAAATGACAATTGGACGCTGAGCTTCGCCTGCGACGCCTACAGCACCGCTCAAACCGATGCCCTCCTGCTCCCGAAGGCCAGCGAGTCCTGGGTGCTCGCCCAGCTCGGCGGCTACTACACGACCGCAGAGACCAACTCCGCCATCACGGCGGCCCTGGGCGACTACTTCACGCGGGCGGAGTCCACGGCGAACATCGTGGCCGCGATTGCGTCGGCCAACACCTACACCGACACCCAGCTGGCCGACTACAGCACCACGCTGCAGATGACCCAGGCCATCGCCGATGCGCTGGTGCCCTACGGGACCATCGTCCAAAGGGACGCAGCGATAGCTGCAGCCCTGGCGGCCTACTCGGACACCGCCGCGATGAACGCCGCCATCGCGGCGGGGCTGGCCACCATCGACCTGAGCCCCTACTGGACGATAGCTCAAGTGCAGGCGGCCATCACGGCTGCGCTCGTGCCCGTCACCCTGAGCAACGGCCAAACCTGGAACGGCGGGGCCACCTTCAATTTGCTCCGGGGCACGAACGTGCTCCGCAACCTCTCCGTGGCCGGAGCCCTGACGGCCAGCTTCCAGAACCTGGATGACACGATCCTGATCGAGTCGGACAGCTACGCCCGATCCGAGACTTACACCCAGCTCGAGACGGGAGCTGCAATCACGGCGGCCAGCGACGCCCTGGACCTCTCCCAGTTCCAGAACGAAGCGGACGTGCTGGCCCTGATTAGCACCGCGCTGGTGCCCTACTGGGACCAAAGCGAGGTCTCGAGCTTCGTGGCCGGCGAGCTCACGAACTACCAGACCAGCGCCCAGGTGAGCTCGGCCATCTCCTCGGCCCTGTCGAGCTACGACAACAGCAGCCAGGTCGACAACAAGATCATCACGGCCCTGCTGGACTTCTACACCAGAGCAGAAACAGATCAGGAGATAGCCAACGCGCTGGGCAACGTGGACCTGTCGGGCTACTACGACCAGGCCGGGACGCAGGCCTACGTGGCCAACGAGCTGCTGGCCTATTATCCCCGGACCGAGCTGGACTCCCAGCTCACGGCAACCTTCAGTCAGTACTGGACCAGCGGGCGCACCCAGACCGAGATTAACGATGCCGTCGCCGGCTTCCTGGACCAAACGGCGGGGGACGCCCGCTACTTCGTGAGAGCTCCCGGCGCGGAGTCGGGGCAGATCTTCAACTTGGTGCAGGAGCAACGGCCCCGCATCGTGCGCAACCTGCTGCTGGAGGCGCCGCTGGTGGGCGACGCGATTCTGGGCAACCAGTCCACCCTGCGCATCCGGAGCGACAGCTGGTCCAAGGCCGAAGCGGACGGCCGCTTCCTGCGCACGAACGACCTGGGCCCGCTCGATGCGCGCTACTTCGTGACCACTCCCGGCGCCGAGGGAGGAGGCATCTTCAACCTGGCGCAGACCCAGTTCACTCCGAACATCATCCGCAATTTGCTCTGCCAAACGCCGCTTTCAGCGCAACCCATCCTGGGGAATGGGTCGACCCTCCAAATCTCCTGCGACTGCTGGTCCAAGGCCCAGTCGGACGGGCGGTATCCTCTGGTCGCCACCTTCAACAGCCTGGGCTCCCAGGTCAATGGCATCGACACCCGCGTCACCGCCCTGGAGAACACCACGGTGCCGGATATCGACACCCGCGTCACGGCCCTGGAGAGCAGCGGCGGGGTCGCCCCCACCGCCGACTTGACGGTCAACAGCCTGACGGCCACGAGCTTCGTGGACACGCCCGAGCTCCGGAGCTCGGCGGGGGACCTGCAGGTCCAGAATGCACTGGTCACCATCCGCAAGGAGGACGGGGCGCTGCTGGCCTCCTTCGCCGACGGCGGCATCAGCATGGACCGGGACGTCACGGTGGCCGCGGCCAGCACCCTCAACGCAACCACGGCGGACTTCGCCCAGTTCTTCGTGGGCAGCACCGCCGCCACGGGAGCCTTCAACACCAGCTCCACCATCGCGGCCACGGGGCTCGTCTCCGCCAACGGCGGCCTGGCCGTGGCGGGCACCACCACCTCCGACAGCGTGGAGCTCACCACGGAGCTGCGGAGCCCCATCGTGAAAGCCCGGCCCACGGACGACTACCTCACCATCACCGGCGGCACCCAGGGCATCTACGTGAACACGGGGGCGGTCTACATGGGCGGTGCCCTGGTGGCGGACCCCGGGCTCGTGACGACCAGCAGCTGGCTGCAGCTGGTCGGCGGCACGCAGGGCGTGCAGCACCAGTGCGAGAGGATGCAGGTGACGGGCAATCAGTCCATCGTCACCGCCGAGGTCGAGAACACCTCGGCCACGGGCTTCGCCAGGCTGCGGCTGCTGGCCAACGGGGGCCTGGGCGGCGCGGACCTGGAGGTGGCCTCCAGCGGCGGCTGCACCCTGGCGAGCATCAACCAGACCATCAGCCTCACGAACGTCGGCGGCGGTTAAGCAGCGCAAATGTGATCATCTACCCCCAGAGCAACCCGTCGCTGCCCGGCTGGATGGTGGCCACCTACGGCTTCACGGAGCTCTCGGATCGGAGCGTGAAGACCAATGTGCGGACGCTGAAGCACCGGGACATGCGGGAGATCTTCGATGCGGTGGAGGCCAAGATCTACGACCGGTCCGACAGCGGGCAGAAGGACCAGGTGGGCTTCATCGCCCAAGAGGTCCAGGCGGCCGGGAAGCTCGGCCCCATGTTCACCCACGAGACGGACGAGGGGCTGCTGACGTTGAACTACCAGCGCATGGTGGCCGTGCTTTGGGGCACGGTGAAGGAGCTACAGAAGCGGGTCGACAAGCTCGAGAAGAAGAAGGGGCGCAAAGGCGACTCGGATTGAGCCCGAAAGGGCTATTCTTCTCGATCATATCTCCGCAGATGGTCGAGAATAATAGCGGTTTTGGGTGCGTTTTGGGTCCCGAAAAGGCTATTAGCCCAGGGTGCCTTTCCACAGGCGGGCTGGGGTAATAGCGGTTTCCGAACCTTTGTGTGCCCCAAAAAAGCTATTCCTCCAGGCCATCTGCTGAGATATGATCTGGAGGAATAGCATTTAAATGGCAGAGGACGGGGCAATGGAGCTCTTAGGGAGGCTGGCTAGAGACTTCAACGTCAGAGACCCTCGAAAGCTCTACCAAATCGCTCGACGTGAGTTTCCGGAGCGGCGGGACCTCACGAGTGCGCGGGCCCAGGCGGCATTGCGCAGCGACGTGGCGCGGCAGGTGCTCGCACCGAAGCCGCGGAGTCTGGGGAAGAGTGCGGCGGAGGGGCCGAACGACCGTTTGCAAGCCGACCTGATCGATTTCAGCCAGAACACCCGGAGCCGGAACAAGTTCGGCCTGGTGGTCACGGATGTCTTCACGAGGGAGGTGGCGACGAAGGCCCTGCCCGACAAGCGGGCGGAGACGGTCACCCGGGCGGCGGCGGAGATCATCCCCGAGCTGGTCCAGGACGAAACCAACGTCGTGGTCACGACCGACATGGGGAACGAGTTTCGGGGTTTGGAGGCGGCGCTGCCCGGAGGCGCGGTGCACCGCCAGAAGGACCCCTCCGACCGCAATGCGACGGCAGTGGTGGACCGGGCGATTCAAACTTTGAAGAAGGATCTGGCGGGCAAGGTGTCCCGGGACGGTGGGGGCTGGGGCGACCATGTGGAAGAGGCGGCGGAAGCCTACAATGCCCGCCCGCATGCGGCCGTGACGGTGGCCCCCGAGGATGTGGAGACGATGCCGGCCGCGAGCTTCCGGGTCTACCAAGACAATGCGGCGAAGTTCAAGCACAACGACGAGCTCACGAGGAGCCGTCAGCGGCGGCTCGAGGAGGCGGGGGCGTTCCGGGCCCCCACCAATGCAGCGAGGAGCTTCCAGCCCCAGTACGGGGCGGTGCGGGAGGTTTCGAGTTACGACTCGATGACGGTGCGGGCCACGGACGGCTCGCAGACCCTGCTGAAGCATGCGCTTCCGGTGCCCCGCGGCTCCGCGGAGCCTAAGGCGCGGCTGACTCGCCGGCCGGTGCCCCTGGCGGTGCGGCAGCTTCGAGATTTCAATCCCGGGCCCGCGGCGCCGCGGTAGATTTGCCGGGCATGAGCGCCAAAAAAAAATTCTCCAGCCCCGAGCCCCCGGAAAACCCACCAATTCCATCAATTCCATCAATCGGCTCTTCTGGGTCGAAACCACCAACAGAAGGACTCAAAACGACCCGAAGGGCTGTTTGCCGGAAACCTGCAGTGTCATCGGGCCTCGAGAGGCTCGAAAACGACAACGCCAGTTGGCGAAACCGATCCGATAGCGGCGATTGATGGGAATTGATATTTCCCAAGCCAAAATATCAATCGCCTTCTTGGAGTCTGCAATGCCCAAAACCCCGATTGATATTACGGAGGCGGGAATATCAATTCCCATCAATCGGCCTCGAGAGGCGTCGAATCTGCGACTTCAGTTGCTCAAACTCGCCCTTTGGAGAGGAAGCGATCAACCGAAACAAGCAACAATCGCCCTAGCGTCTAAAACGAGTGCTAAAACGCTACAGAAACCCACCACAACCCGATTGATGAAATTGATGGAATTGATGGGGTTGGCACCCTCTCCCAGCAGCAGGGAAATCGCAGGGCAGCCTAGTCGGGATGAAGGGTTCTAGGGGTTCGGGCCTGCAGGTTCGGGACTCAGGGTAACCCACACGACACGCAGGGCACTCGCAGGGCACTCGCAGGGCAGCCTAGTAGGGATTAGGGTTCTAGAGGGTTCGGGCCTGGAGGTTCGGGACTTAGGGTAACCCGGGGGCTGCAGACCGCACGAACCTGGAAGACGTCGAACCGACCTGGTCAGGAAGCCCATGTGGCTGAGAAAGGACCGGCTTTTCTTTTTCTCCCTCGGCATCCAGAGAGGTGCTTCACTGTACGGACAGAAGCTCGACTGGATACACTGGCCCGGCATCCTAATCGACGATGCCGTCGCTCTCCTCCGACTCCTCGTCGAAGGGGTCGCTGTTGTCCTCATTCTCGAGTCTTTCTATCTCTCGCCTGATGCGCTGATACGTGGCCAGCTTCGTCTGGTCCAGACTCCCGATCAGGTGATTGTGCAGAGCCCAGGTCGCCATAGCCGAGACGTCGGAGCCGTGATTGACACGCTCCCCCATGCGCATGTCAGGCAGACACGTGGTGTAGAAGCCGGGCACCGCGTCAAGACCGTCGTGCCTCAGCAGCTCCGCCGTGATACGGCACCGGTCCCGTAGTCGAACTGCCCCTTTGGATGCGAAGAGTCGTCCGGCTCGTTGAAGTTGTAAGCGAGCTTGCAGGCGATCCTGAGGCGGCACACAGCCCGACAGTAGAAGCTGCCGCGTCATGGCGCCCCAATGAAAATAGACTCCCTGGGATGTCCAGCCCTCTGTCTGGAGCGGCTCCACTGCTTCATCGAATCGATGATGCAGAAAAAAGTGCTCTCTCCACACCAGAGACAGCACTTCGCGAACAGACATTGCTATGCGGGCCGAGAAACACCTAGGGGGCTCGAGAGATCACAAGAGCTACGGCATCCGCGGAGATTGCAAAACGAAATAGCAACTGGTCGCAGCTGAGATGCAAAAGTCACAGGCAATGCGGTAGGGCAGAACTTCAAGAGCCGGGCGATGTGGAGATGCGCTCGACCTCCAACTCAGACCTGACGACTCTCGCAGCGACAAACTACGATCAACAAACGGAGAGCACGAGACCTGGCTGTCCCGCCTAGTCCAGCGACCTGCGTCCAGGGCGGGCTCGCAGAACATGCAGGCACACAGCAGGCAAAGCGGCAGGACTTTATGCAGTCGCACAGCTCAGCGGGGTGCTGTGCACAGCCTGGGCTGCCCGGTTCGGCGCTCGACCTGAGACAGGTGCGCATGCAAGCACAGGCGTTCACAAGCAGGACGGCACAAACGTTCGCAGCACACTTTTCAAGGCCTTTCCAGCCTGCTCTGGCATCAACCTCCCAAGCGGAGGCCTCGGATGCCTCTGTAAAGTCCACGAGCTCGTGAACTTGCCTGAGCCTAGGCCTTTTTGGCCCTGGAACAGCTCGGCATTCATAATGGATGAAGGGCAGCTTGCCGCAGGGGCGTTCTCGAAAACCGTTTGGATGCCTAGGCTGAAGTAGGAGCCCCTCCCCTGCGCCTGCAGTGCCCTCTGTGCGCATGCACATGTGTCGAAAAACCTATATGCACATCGGAGGCCGGCGCGCCGAGCCTGTGCAAAGCCTTCGACCAAAAATCATGCAGTCTCCTTCAGCTTCCAGGCGCCGGTGTTGTCGGCAGGGACGTTCTTGGAGTTGGCCTGGTGCATCTTGATGCCGGCGCTCGTGAGCCGAGTCCTGGCCACCTTGCGGTCACAATCGAGATAGGCCTTGACCGCATCCAGGAAGACGGTCCAGGCGGTGCCCTGGTTGTACTGGGCAGCCCTCACGCAGTGCTCGCTCAGGAACTTCTCGACGGTCTTCAGGTTTTCCCGGTTCTGCTCCTCCAAAAGGACCATCTGCGGGGGTTTGGGCAGAAGCTCCGTGCCTGGATTCAGCTCCTCGGAGAGGGAGTTGTAGAAGCCGAGGGCGAAGTAGTTCATCTCCGCATGGAAGCAGCCGCTGTTGATCTTGCGCTTCAAGGAGTCGTCGGCCTTGTGCTCCGTGAGCTTGGTGGGATGCGCCACGAAGCGAGCTTCGGTCTGCCATTCGCGGGCTCGGCGGGCCCAGCCGTCGTCGTCGATCTGCTTCACCTTCGGGGGGAAGTTGCTTGTCGCGCAGAAGACGCCCATGGGGCGAAAGCTCCGAGGGTTTCTGTAGAGGCCTCGCCCCGTCAGGGGTGCCCCCCCTTGTTCGCACAGAGCTTTGAGGAAGTCGGTGTCCAGGTCCTCGTGCTCCGGCACCTCGGAGCCCCAAATGAAGCGCTTCCCCCTCATCTGGTCGAGCTGCGGCGATGCCGACTCCTTCCCAGACTTCGCGCCCGCCACGAAGTAGCGCCCACTCACGAGGAGGCCGTAGTTCCACGGCTCGTAGCCCAGGAAGCGCAGCAGGATCAGCATCAGCACGTCCTTTCCCGAGGATCCGGGTCCATGGATGTAGAGCAGTTCACACAGACGCTCCAAGGCTCCGATGCCGCGACTGAACAGCCGGAGCAAGTAGAGTACTTGCAACCATGTCCCGTATTTTTTCACCAGCTGAAGCAAAGGGGAGACGACCATGAGTTCCCTGAAAGCCTCTGTTACCGCGAGGCCTTCGTTGTTGGCCTCCAGCGTGGTCGCCCCCGTCTTGAGGAACGCTTCCACCTTGGCGAAGAGGTCTGTGTCCACGGGCGGCTCCCAGGTTGCCGACGACGCCTCTGCGCGCAAAGACATGCGATCGCTCGGCTGAGCCATGCGCCGCTCCCCGGTGGCGAAGTCGACCACCACCCCGTCGCTGTAGAGGACCTTCCCTCGAGTCTTGTCGCTGTCCAGGGCAGGCATGGTGTGCCCGCTGAGCAAGCCCAGCACCTCGTCCACCAGGCTCTTGGTCCAGCCGCTGTCGTTGAGCGGCTCCGGCGGAGTGAAGTGCCCCTTCTGCGCAGGGCGCACCAAGTTCTTCAGGCTCATCCGGATGAGGGCCCCCATGTCGTCCTTGTGCTTGGGCACCCAGAAGCCCTTGCCGTCGAAGAACTCGAAGGTGGTGCGCTTCTCCCCGTCCTCGTGCGGCACGTTCACCACGGGAGCCAAAAGGGCTGCCACGAAGTCCGCGAAGTCGGAGCCGTTGGGCCGCACCCGCCGCGCCGAGATGTGGCCGAGGCAGACCTCCCGCGCCTGTGCGAACTGCCGGTAGGACTGGCTCGCCTGCAGACTCCAGTTGAACTCCGGGTAGCGCTCCGTCGCGTACTGGAGGGGGTCCGGGGTCTCCTTCAGGGCCGCCTCCAAGCCCAACTCCGCAGCAGCGGCCAGCACCGCGTCCGCACCATCCCGATGCACCGCGACTCCGTCGTGCTCGAGGGCCACCAAACGGTCAGCGGCCGCCAGCTTGAAGGCCTCCAGCGCACGCCGCTCCAGGGAGACGTATTTGGAGTACGCCATGGATGCCAGGCCTCGGTTTCGGGCCCTGTGCCACGTGCGGGCCTCCGGACTCAGGCTCTCCCGGCACAGAACGTGCAACTCGCGCACGGCCTCCTCGATGCCGCCCAGCATGTGCAGCAAGGGGTCCACCTCCGCACTGGTCGGGATGAAGCCCAGGTGCTGCGAGCACCAGTTGCTCGCCGACATGCCGAAGCCCATGGCGATCATCAGCCCCTTGGCGTCCTCGCGGGTCACCGGCTTCCCGGGCCGGGTGATCTCCGGCTCGTCCTTGTCGGTCCAGGGCTTCGCATCCTCGGTTTTGGCAGCGCGGCGGCGCGCTTCCTTCGCGGCCTTGTTCTCCCGGTCGGCCTTGAAGGAGTTGAGGCCCGCAACCAGGTGCGCCAGGGTCTCCTCCCGGTTTGCCACGTAGTCGCCCAGAGTTCCCGGGATCACCGCCTCCTGGGAGAGGAGCTGGTAGAAGCTGTTCGCCAAGTCCACCTCAACCACGTCGAGCCCGTACCGGCAGAAGTACTTCACGAGCTTGGGGAACACGAAGGCGCTCCTGCCCACCAAGGCGTCCGGCAGCCCCAGGACCAGGATCTCCCGCTGGATCGGCCTCGGCAGCTGAGCGATGAGCGACGCCCGGGCGGCCTGCAGCTCCTCGCGCTTCGAGTCGTCGGCCTTGCGCTTGCCTCCCACCTGGTCCGGGTGCGGCAGGCGTCCGATGCCACAGAAGATGCGACCCTGCATTCCCGGCGGATGCCGGCTTTCACGCTGCCAGACCGGCAGCAGCCCCACGCCGTTGTGGATCTTGACGACGCGACGCCTCAGGCTCAGGAGGATCTCGAAGAGGTTGTACTCCGCAAAGCGCCGCACCGCGTCGGAGTCCAGCGCCCTGTCGAGCTCCGCCACATTGACCGGCTCGTAGCGCAGCCACCCCGCCAGCTTCTCGTCCTCGGGGCCGATCTCCGGGTCGCCGTCCTCGTCCCTGTCGTCATCCTGCGGGTCTTCCGGGCCTGGCGGCGAAGGTGCAGGAGCTGGTGGCGGCGGCGCCGAAGATGCAGATGGCCCCGGCGGCGGGCTCGACGAAGCTGGCGGCGGCGCCGAAGATGCAGATGGCCCCGGCGGCGGGCTCGACGAAGATGCCGCTGGCGGCGGCGGCGCCGAAGATGCAGATGGCCCCGGCGGCGGGCTCGACGAAGATGCCGCTGGTGGCGGCGGCGCCGAAGATGCAGAGGGCTCCGGCCTAGGATCACGGAGCTCCTGGAACAAAGCTTCTTCCCGAGGCGAGCGGCGGTACTGACGGAGGGTCCGGATGAATGTATCATTCAGATAGCCAATGTCATCCTTGAGATTGTCGAGCTCCTTGAACGCCTCCTCGGCTCGCGCCTTCTGGTCGGGAGGGCACTTGTCTGGATGCAAGAAGAAGCGCATCTTCCTGAAGCATTGATTCACGCTGAGTTCGGGGAACACCCGCAGCCCGCAACGGGCCACCAGCGTCAGCTCTTCATCCAGGACCAGGTCCGCGGCCAACGCCCGCACTCGCGAGCTCACCATGGCTAAGGAGATCTCGAGATGCAAAATGCACACTCGGTCGCACGCGCGAGCTCATGCCGGCAGTCAAACATGCAGCGAGCGGCACTGCAGCAAGGCTTCACCTCTCGGCTCCAGGCGATACGGCACCAAGCGGCAAAGCGAACAGGACGGACCTGAGAGCGAAGGAGGGGGCCCGGGGCTCCCGGGAGGGTTCGGGGGGGGGGTCTAGGTTTTACAGGGCAGGGGTGGAGGCGGCAGCAACGGGCACTCCTGCGCGCACACACTTGCACGACCCTGAACCCTTCCAACACAAAACCCTCGCGGCCGGCACTCTGAGTGACAAGCTCCGACGAAGGCGAGGACCTGGGCGGATGCGGGAAGTCCGGGAGGGCCTTAAGGGGGAGAGGGTGCGCTGGCAGAACAAGACGCAAAAAAAAGCAAGCTACCTTTAACAGCTGTGCGTGCTTGACGGCTTCGTGCCGATCGCTAAATCGGACCACTCCGAGCGACTCTCTGTACTATCGCCACGGAGGAATGGCCTCGGGTCTAGCCTCTGCAAGGCTGGCCTGCTCGGGTCCCGCCTCGAGCTATGCGCACCTGTTGACGTGCGGCGGAGCTCATTCGCGAAGCGGCCGTCGTCGTCCTCTCCTGCAAAGATCGCGATGACCTCGGTCTCGGCGTAGCGGCTGTGCCAGAGGATGTAGACCTTGTCGTCGGCTTCCCGAAGGAATAAGCGGGTCGCTGGATCGAGGGTAAAATTCCTTATCACGCCCGTGTCCTGGAGGAATTTGAATTTGTGGCGGCGGAGCTCCTTGCTCGACATGGTGGAAGCTTCTTGGAGAAGCTGGTCGATGTCCCTCCCGCTGGTGCTCTCCAGCACCAGTGCCTTGTCTCCGAATCGCGCCCT